CCCATCTCCCAAACCTATCTCAATAAATGACCTATTTTCTACCTATATGAGACTAAAAACTAGGAGTCATCCTTGATTCTCTCTTCTTCATCACTCTCCACAAATCACTAAATCCAGATGTGAATCTTGCTGGGTCTACCTACAAATACTGGAATCTGTTTTCATCTTTCCATCCCTCCTAGTCCAAGCCATCATTCCCTTCTTTGTGCTAGTTTCCGAACTGGTGCCCCCCACTTTTGCTCTCCTTCCAGTCTATTCTCTGCATGGCAACTTGAATGATCTTTTTTAAAAACACTAAATCAAATCATGTTACTACTTCTGTTATTTAAAAAAAAATCTCCAGTGGCTTCTCATACTTAAAATGATATTCTAAGTTCCATACTTTGATCTCTAAAATCTTAATGTGGTTCTACCAGCCTCGCTTATTTCTTCTTTACCACTGTTCCCATCATTTTTGATGCCCTAGCCAGTTACCTTTTTACCCCATTCCTAAAAAATTGCTTTTGCACTGGTTGATCCTGTGAGCCTGGAATGTGCTTCCCCAGATCTTCATATGGCTGGCTCCTTCTTCCTGTCTTTCTGGCCTTAGGGAGGTCTTCTCTAACCACCTAATCTAATACAGTGCCTTGCTACATCACATTATTTGTCACATCATTTTGTTATTTTCATCATAGCACTTACCACACTACCCCATATTTTTTTGTTGGTTTTATTTTTTCTTCTTCTCCCCACCATGATAGTAAGGATCTTGTCTTGTTTGGTGTTGAGTCCCAGAGCTTAGAGTAGTGCTACTTGGAACATAGTAAGGGGTCAGAATATGCTAGTTGGATGAAGTAATGCAAGAGAGAATAAATGGATGAAAAAACTGACTTAGTAAGGTGGTGAGGAGCATTACTGGGAGGATACTTATATTTTTAATAGTAAATATTTTTCTTAAAAATTTTTAAAAATTGAGCTATAATTCACATACAATAATATTCATCCTTTAAAGTATGCAATAAATGGATTTTAGTATATTCACAAAGTTGTTCAACCATCACAGTTATCTAATTCCAGCAGATTTTCATCACCTCCAAAAGAAACCCTCTGTCAGTACTAGTCACACTCCATTTCTCCCTTTCCAGTCTCTCGTAACCAACCTACTTTCTATGTGGATTTGCCTTTTCTGGACATTTCATATAAATGGAATAATACAGTATGTGATATTATGTATTTTGTGTCTGGTTTCTTTTTACTTAGCATAGTATTGTTAAGATTCACTCATGTTGTAATATGTATCAGGACTTCATTCCTTTTTATGGCTGAATAATATTCCATTGTATGAATATATTACATTGTATTTATCAGTGCATCTATTGAGGGACTTTTGGATTGTTTACACTTTTTGGCTCTTGCAAATAATGATGACATTAACAATACATGTTTTTTTTGGTGGACACATTTCTCTTGGGAAGTTTTCTTGGGAATAGTCATGTCTTCTCCCTTTTGCCCTGTACCTCTGTTAAGCACATTTTGACTGTCTCTATGATTTTTTCAGAAAGCCAAGTATTTGGAATCATATACCATGTAGCCTTTTTAGACTGGCTTCTTTCACGTGGCAGTATTTGATTAAAGCTTCTTCATCTTTGTGTGTGTGTGTGTGTGTGTGTTTTATTGAAGTATCATTGATATACAATCTTATATTGTTTTCAAGTATTGTGTGTGTGGTTTGATAGCTTATTTCTTTCAATCACTCAACATAATATTCCATGTTATGGATGTACCATACTTTGTTTAGCCATTCACTTATTGAAAGGCATCTTGGTTGCTTCCAATTTTGGTGATTATGAATGAAGTTGCTATAAACATTCACAGGTAGGTTTTTGTGTGAACATTGGTTTTCAGATCATTTAGGTAAATACCCAGGAGTGGGATTGCTGGTTTTTATGGGAAGATTGTGTTTAGCTTTGTAACAAACTGCCAAACTGTCTTCCAAAGTGGTTATATCATTTTGCATTCCTACCAGCAATGAATGTTGCTCCGCATCCTCATTAGTATTTGGCATTGTCAATTTTTTGGTTTGTAACAATTTTAATAGGTGATATCTCATTATTTTAATGTGCAATTCCCTGCTGACAAATGTTGTTGACCATCTTTTCATATGTCTATTTGCCATCTCTGTATATTCTTCGGTGGAGTTTGTTCATATATTTTGCCCTTTCTTCATGGGTTGAATTTTAAGAACTTTTTGTATCTTTTGAATACAAGTCCTTTATCAGATATATAGTTTGCAAAGATTTTCCCTCAGTCTGTGGCTTACAGTGTTTTCACAGAGTAGAGTTTTTAGTGTTAAAAATTGCCTTATAGAGGTATTCCCCACTGTCCTACCAAAATTCTGAGATTTAGTTGAATGTTAAATACACTTGCCTACTTGTCAGAAAAAGTTCAGCAGAGGAGATTACTGGGATTCACTTGCTCAAAGGTTCTGAGTCAAATTGTTGTAATTCCTGAAGAGTCTCCCACAGTCCCTTCTACCTCCTGTAGTACAGATTCTGAGCTTGGAGCACAGTGGGAATCACTCTTACCTTCATTGTGTCCTCTACTGGGAGTGTTCTAGGCTAGGTTTTTTCAGAATTTTTCTGTCACTGTATCTCATCAGCTTTTTAATATTACCAGAATTCCTCAATTTCTGATCTGCTGATAGCCTTTCTTGCTTTCTCGTAATGTTAAGAAGGATTTTTTATTCTCCTGCCATTAATAATAAAAGCAACAGCATCACCAATAATAATAGTGATTTACAGGGATGTTAGGCAGAAATGTAAGTAGATATTTTCAGATTCTAACTTACTTGAATCAGGATTGTCTTTTTCATACTCATTAGTGCTTTTCTACTTGATTTTGACAATTTCTAACATTTTTTGCTGTTGTGTATCTCTGCCCTTCTGAAATTATGAGTGTATTTGGCAACCTCTGGGGAAAATTGCTCTCTGGTGGAATTTTATTTTTTCCAAATGGCAGTGCTAAGTATTCATATAAATTAGAAGAAGTGTAAGGCGATGAAATGAAATTAGGTAGTTTGAAGATTTGAAGATTGTTTTTAAAATGCATACTAATAACTCAGTATAAATTACCTTTATAATGTTTCATAAGTGACTTGATTAAACTGTGGTGATATTGGAAGGAAATTGTTAGAAGTAATTGGATAAAAGAGAAAGGTAACCATCATGTAGTATTGGGTAGTAGATGAAAGAATGGGCTTTAAAGACTTAAATTCTGGCTCTGTAATTTACCATTTTCATAATTTTGAGCAAATTATCCAAGTACTTTAAGCCTCAGTTTTGTTACTTATAAAATAAAATAATAGCAGGTATATCATAGATTTATAAGGATTGAATGAGATATTGCATGTAAAATACTTCCAAGCACAAAACCTGCAGTAAAATGTTAGTTAATATTAATCATCACTATCCTGATGTAGGAGTTCTCAGTGTGTCATTGACTGGAACTGTTAATTAAGAAGTATTTATCAAGTACCTGGTCTCTAGTATTGGATTTAGACCTATAGAAGGATCTACTGGTATGAATGACAGGTTGGTACCTAGATGTGGAGCAAAGTGAACTATTATTAGTGAAGTCTTATTATATGGTTCAGTAGTAAGATAGATATTATAATTATTCCCTTATTATAGATTAGGGAGCTGAAGCTTGGTAATGTTAAGTAAATTGTTCAAGATAATGGGTGGTTGAATCCCACTTCTGCTGTTTTACCAGCTGTGTGGTCAGAGTAAGTTATTTAACGTTAAAAGGATGAAATTATTGACTCAAATAAATTGATGTTAATTCACTCCTAATTTGAATATATTTGATGACATGTTCTTCCATGTCAAAATACAAAGATACCTATTCATCTAACCCTTACTAGGCCCCTCTTCTGTTGTCTATAAAGCCTCCTGTCCCAATTCCTTCAACCTTGAGATGTTCCAGGCCAACTTAGAAAATAACAACTTTGTTGATAGTTGTATTGACCAGTAAAGGGTTAAAATGAGGGTTAATAATGGATGTGACAGTGTTGAGTTTGGTAGGAAATGGTTTATGGAAATTAACTTAAGTGTTACTGTGAGGCCTAATCTATTCTTTGGGGTCTCAAAGAGGAAATGAATGATGCTGTTGAAATTTACAAAAGATAGATCAAACTGGATGACAGATTATAAGGAATGTGTGTTCAGAGTTTTCCCTTAGGACTCAGGTATTTAATTGTCAAACCATCCTGTCTTGCTCCAGAAATTATTGGCCTCCAAATGTGAGTAAAAGGACTGGGAAAACAACCCTGAGTCCTGGATGTTTATTTGGAAAGAAAGAACCTCAGGGTAATGCTGTGAATTATTAATACAACACCCTTGTCAGAAAGCTCTAAATTGTCATATAGTTATGATGCACACACGCACATTCAGAAATTTGAGCAAACCAACCATGTTAATGTCTAACTACTTATCTGCATACCTAGAATTCTGGAGTAAGATTGCTGAGGCTTCCAATAACTGAGTAGAAGAACATGTAGCTTTTCTTTCTCACTCTAGAATTTTTGTGTTTTATTGATATAAAATTGTATCTTTATGCTTCTTATACAAAAGAAATTATATTAAGATGAAAGACTTAGAATGGGGTAAAAAAATAAAATGAGTAAGAATCACAGAATTTTTTTTTTATATATTACAACCTTTTGTTACAGCCTTTTAAATTGTTAATTTTTTGTGAAAAGCTGGATTAGTTACAGCTAAAATTCTTGTTCTTGAGAGTTGCAATAGGGCATGTAGAGAAGGTTTAGGAGCTTTGGATATCAAACACTGTAGTTATAGCAATTATATTACCACTACTTAAAGTAGTCAATACAGTTTAGAGCTGTGTATTTGTGGATGTTTAGGATCACCTCTGCTGTTTTATCCAGTAATATACTGTAAGAGACTCTGTTGAAAGTCATGCTTTAAATATTGAATCTCCTTTTTTTTCTTTTGTATTCATAGTGGTAGTCGCTCTTCTAAAACTTTTAAACCAAAGAAGAACATTCCAGAAGGTTCTCACCAGTATGAGCTTTTAAAGCATGCAGAAGCTACACTTGGCAGTGGCAACCTGCGGATGGCTGTCATGCTTCCTGAGGGGGAAGATCTCAATGAGTGGGTTGCAGTGAACAGTAAGTAGCCTACACTTCTCAGTAGACTCTAAATTAGGTTTGGAGTCTCACTGTAAGTGAGCATTGGGGTGCTATCTATTCTAGGATCTAGTTAACCTAGTAGAACAATAAAGTGATACTTCCATTTACTTTAACCTTTGTGTTATTTTATTTCTGAATATGGAGTTTTATGAAATTCTTGTTTCGTGTTATAATGTAATAGAAAGAATAGGTTTTTCATCTTCAGTAGGAAAAAATAACAGCAGTTAACATTTATGGAATACCATGTACCTGGCACCCTGTTATCCTTTCTACATGGATTATTTTATTTCATCATTACAACCTCTTAAGGAAATTGAGACAGAAAGGTTAGTAATTTGCTTAGGTCATACAGCTATTAAATGGTTGAGCCTGGGCTCAAGTATAGAACTATAGAATTTTTTTTTTTTTAATGCAGTGTAGACTGTAATTTTCTTTGATGTGGCAAACAAAAACAATAAATCAAGTAGATCCCTCAAACAGATACAATTTTGTGTTTTGGACAGAGTATTGTGAAAAACTCAATTCATTGACTTTCAAAATTAGAACAAGTTAGGTGCAATTTTGTTCAATAAATAAATAAATAGAAAATTATATAGGCTGGATAACATAGTCCTTAAAAATGCAAGTCGTGTCGTTGAATAACACTACTTCTTAACTTTCTAACTGTAGAACTGTGGGCATTACTTTTGCTCTCTGTTACTCATTTGTTTTTGTTTTAACTTCTAAAATGGGGATAATCTAAGTGCTTCATAGAAATGAGGGTTCATTAAGATAGGCAGTACTATGACACAGTTACTGTTAACTACAAATCTGCAAATATGATGTACTTAACTCACAGTCATCCAGATTAGGGAGATGCAAGAGGGAGGGAGAAGAGGCTACAGAAGGCAAGAGAGAACTCCTAGAATTAGAGACAGTCTACAAGGTTCAGACCAGGGATCCCCACCAAACTCTACTGTCAAGATAATCAGGCCCATATCTGAGAAAGCATTACCACATCTTTTTTCTCCCCAGAAGATCCAACCTCAGATGCATTTTTTGAAACGTTATCTTGGTAATGTTTTGTAGAAATATAAAACGTTCAAGAGACAGAGACAGAAAAAGACAAGAAAGAGAATTAAAACGAAAAGATAGCAAAGTCTCTTCTGTGTCTCTGCTATGGGAAAGACCCCAGATTGGGAGATCTGGGTTTCAGACCTGGTTCTGGTGCTAGCTTTGTAGAACTTGCACTGGACACTGTTTTCTAATCTGTAAGATGAAGAGTCTTCATGGGATTTTTTTTTCAGGCATCTTCTGAACTATTGAATTTTAGAGATTCACCTTCCATGCTTGCTCCAGAGGCTTTCCAGGCAAGGGAGACCTGGGAACTTTCCTCTTCAAACAACTAAACAACACACAAACACACAATCTTTGAAGAATTTCTGAAATCTACAAGGAATTTTGAAAAACAGGATGTTTAAATGATGCTGGTGCTTTTTTTTTCAATTAGGGTATCATTGATTGTCGATTTTATGAAGTTTTCGCATGAGCAACATTGTCGTTTCAACCTTCACCCATATTATCAAGTCTCCCCCCACCTCAATGAAATCACTGCCCATCAGAGTAGTAAGATGCTTGAGAGTCATTACTTGTTTTCTCCGTGCTATACTGCCTTCCCCATGACCTACTTATATTGTGAGTGCTAATTAAAATGCTCCTTAATCCCCTTCTACCTCCCTCCCCAACCACCCTTTCCAACCCTTTCCTTCCCTTTGGTAAACACTAGTTCCCTCTTGGAGTCTGTGAGTCTGCTGCTGTTTTGTTCCTTTGGTTTTGCTTTGTTGTTATACTCCACAAATGAGTGAAATCATTTGGTACTTGTCTTTCTCTGCCTGCTTTATTTCACTGAGTATAATACCCTCTAGCTCCATCCATGTTGCTGCAAAAGGTAGGATTTGTTTTCTTCTTATGGCTGAATAGTATTCCATTGTGTATATGTACCACCTCTTCTTTATCCATTCATCTACTGATGGACACTTAGGTTGCTTCCATATCTTGGCTATTGTAAATAGTGCTGCAGTAAACGTAGGGTTGCATATGTCTTTTTGAGTCTGAGACCTTGTTTTCTTCAGGTAAATTCCCAGAGGTGGAATTCCTCTATCAAATGATATTTCTATTTTTAGTTTTTTGAGGAACCTCCATATTGCTTTCCACAATGGTTGAACTTGTTTACATTCCCACCAGCAGTGTAGGAGGGTTCCCTTTTCTCCGTATCCTCTGCCAGCATTTGTTGTTCTTAGTCTTTTTGATGCTGGCCATCCTTACTGGTGTGAGGTGATATCCCATTGTGGTTTTAATTTGCATTTCCCTGATGACTAGTGATGTGGAGCATCTTTTCATGTGGCTGTTGGCCAGCTGAATTTCTTTAGAGAAGTATCTGTTCAGATCCTCTGCCCATTTTTTAATCCGGTTATTTGTTTTTTGGGTGTTGAGGCATGTGAGCTCTTTATGTATTTTGGATGTTAACCCCTTATCGGATAAGTCATTTACGAATATATTCTCCCATACTATAGGATGCCTTTTTGTTCTAATGGTGTCCTTTGCTGTACAGAATCTTTTTAGTTTGATGTAGTCTCATTTGTTCATTTTTGCTTTTGTTTCCCTTGCCTGAGGAGTTGTGTTCAGGAAAACATTACTCATATTTATATTCAAGAGATTTTTGCCTATATTTTCTTCTAGAGTTTTGTGGTTTAATGACTTACATTCAGGTCTTTTATCCATTTTGAGTTTACTTTAGTGTATGGAGTTAGACAGACATTCAGTTTCATTCTCCTACATGTAGCTGTCCAGTTTTGCTACCACCAGTTGTTGAAGAGGGTGTCATCTCCCCATTGTATACCCATGGAGCCTTTTTTGTGTATTAACTGGCCATTTATGTGTGGGTTTATGTGGGTTTTCTCTTCAGTTCCATTGATCTGTGGGTCTATTCTTGTGCTGCCAGTATCAAATTGTTTTGATTGATGCCAGCTGTTTTTCTGTAAATAAATTGGTGTTTTTTGTAGGACTTTTAATTGTAATGATAGAGAAAAAAACAGGGAAAACTGTTTAATGAAAGCACAATATTTATCTTTGGTAAATGACTTTTGAGCAGTTAAGATGTTGCTTTAAAAAAACTCAGAATCAGAAAAAAAACACTGAGTTACTTAAGAACACCTATAGTTTAAAATGTAACTTATTTATTTTAATTTATTTGCACCATTGGGAAAACTTGCTTTGGCATTTTGCCTTAAACCCTCCTCTCATTGATAGCCAGTTCACCTGGAGGCAGGACAGTTCTCAGACGTACCATTCTTTTTCCTTTTTGGCTTTCGAAGAACAATTGTCTGGCTCTTCTGAGGCCTCCTGCCTTTCCTTTCTTTCTATTTTGTTGATTAATTATTACTTTAAAGCTTTTCTTTTCCTGGCTCCTTCTTTTAGGATGTACAGATGTTAAATAAAAAAACATTAACAGCTGCAGTTCAGTACAACTGCTGTTTCCACACTCTACTCCCCAAAATTCCTTGTCACCTTCTGTAACTATTGGATGGCACTTTCTCCAACTTAGTCCTAAGTAAAGCACAGTTTAAAAAAAATTCAGAAATGGGATTTTAACCACTATGCTAAGTTTCCTCTTTTAGGAGCATACTTAGTTATTTGTCAAAATTATGCTTTTAAAAAGAAGAAAAAGATGAAATTAGTAAAATATGTTATGAGAAATTCTTAACCCCTAAAGAGAAAGACATGTAAGTAAAAAGTAAATATACTCTTGAAAATTAAGCCAGAGAAAGTTGGGGAATAAAAGTGGTACTTTTAATATTCACAGGTTTTTAGCATTAGTGAAGAAATTAATAGAGTTTTGTAATTGGAGGAAGTTTATATAAATCTGGTAAAAATGAAATTTAATTGAAAGTACACACAAGATGCCTAAAAACAAAACAGTATTTCTCATAATATTTGATGGTATCTTACTGTGATTTGAAATATCATGGGATTTATAAATTGTGCTGCCATTCACTGATAAACTTTAGGAATCTAAAAGATTTTACTGGGGTGTCTTAAAATCTTACTGTGACTGCCTTTGCAAAAGAGCAGTATTCATTATAATGTGGTTATCCTCCTGGATCAAGAGAGTTGAATTACTAAAGAAATAAGTGATTTATCTGCTTTATTGATAAGACCCATCTTACCTATAAGATGGTTCTATAACACTTCAAAGACAATATTTAGAATAAATTTATAGTATTTATGTATATTCTTTTTTGTACTTGTGTCTTTTTTGCCATTTACTTGAGAGCTCATTTATTAATTTAAAAAATCTAAGGAATACAGTGTACACCTTTTGTCCCACATGAAATTCTGACTTTTAAGTATAGAAGCAGATCATTTTCTGTCTGTATTCTCTCAATCTCAGCAGAACTGAATGTATGTACTACTGAAATACCTTGAGCTTTTAAGAACTTATAAAATTTCACAGGCATTTTATAATTCTAGCTGAAAAATACTTTGAATTGAAGCATTAGAACATCCCCTCAGAACATACAGTTCTGTCCTGAAAATATACCATTTGACTGAAGTATTGGATTCTAAAATTTTCCTTAGTGACTGTAGTTTTCCCAAATGATACTTGATAAAGTGAATACGGTATGATACTAGACAGATATTTCCACTCACTGACAGTGATTAAGTAAACATTCCATGTACATAAAAAAATGAAGGAATTTGTTGTTAAGATTGACATCTTCAAGTGGCCTTTTGGTTTCAGTTCACTTGCCAGATGAGGATAAATGATAGAAGATGGGAAATCTTCACAAATTTAACAACTGGTCTCACAGCCAGAAACCAGAGCCTGGTGTTGAATGTACTGCTGCTAGGAAAAATGATAGCTTAAGGGGCTCTAGAAAAAGTCAGATGGATGGCTTATAAATAATTTATATGGCACAGAATCTGGAGGCCCGTATCTTTGTGGAAGGAAATGAACATTTACTAAATGCCTACCTTATGGAAGACATATATTTTTTAGCCCTCCATTATAAACCCAGTTTTAAAGGTAGGCAACTAAGTTCAGGGAGGTAAAGTAACTCAGATGGTAAGTATAGGAGTTGGGATTTAAGCCCTTCTTATTTCAAAGCCATAGGTTGTCCTCTATTCATGTGGAGCACAATTTAAGAATCAATTAAGCTGCAGTGCATTACTTAGTAAATCGTAGTTCATTGAAAGATAAGAAGGGAGAGGAAAACTTGTAGGATGAAATTTAGTATGCTTATCACTACTCTACTTCAATCAAGAATTAACTTTGACTCCTTTAAAGTCGGGGGTTTTTTCCTCCTCTAGAAAGTCTGAATTTTCAAGAAGTGCTGCTCATTAGTAATTAATGAGGTGAAAAGAGATCTTAGGACTAGTAAGTAAGAGGGAACAGGCCTGAGCTCAGTCACCATAGGTGGTATTTGTCCATATGTGAATAAATGCTCCCTTTCTGCCTGAGAAACTTAAAAAGGTGTATTTTTTCCCAGGAGAGTATAAGCAATAGGTATTAGAATCTGTCTAGATATATGTCAGTGGTTACTGTAACACTGCTTGTGGTTTCCTTGAGTTAATTTGTACTGAGTTCTTAATTACTGTTTATATCAAAAGAAAGGGCACACTGAGAGGAAGCTTTTTCTATAACTTATTCTTCCCTTTATGAAAAACTCAAATGATTTTTCCCTATTAACTTGTAAGCTCAATGAGGATATGAAATTGAGTCAGTTTTGATTCTTATTCTTAGAAGCTAGCATAGTTTCTGGCACATCTAAGGTTCATGCTTTGGTCATGGGAGAGGTAAAAAAAAAATTTTGGGGGCTTTTTTAAATCAAGGATGCTTGTGCTATGCTGTATAACAGGGGTTAAAAGCCTTTTTTTGTAAAGGGCCAGATAGTAAACATTTTAGGTTTTGCTGACCATACGGACTCTGTTGCAATAATTCATCTCTGCTGCTATAGTGCAGAAGTCATCACAGATAGTGGTGTGTGGTTATAGTCTAAGAAAACTGCAAAAAAAGATGTTGCACTGCATGGCCTATGGTCATAGTTTGCTGACCCCTAATCTAGGGTAGGACCAATATGATAGTAAATGAATGTATAACTATCTACTTAATAAAGGAGAAAAATAGAAAATAAAAAAATAATCCTAAAGAATGTAAGAAAGAAAAGAAAAGAATCATGTAATAGGTAGTATAAATAGATAACATATAGTAAAATAGTAAATTAAAATCCAAATTTTAGTAATTGTATTAAATGTAAAGAACAAAGTGCTTCCATAAAAAAGACAATGATTTTATCAAGATGGTTACAAAACAAAACAAATCTAAATCTCATTTCCTAGAGATATACTTTATAGATACAGGTTGAAGATAAAAAGTTAAATATCAATATGAAGAAAACTGATACAGTCAGGGTAATATCAGATAAAGTAGACTTCAAGGCAGAAAAACTTTAATAAAGAGGAAGATTTTAAAATGATAAATGGTTCAGTTCACAAAGAATATACGAAGTTCCGAATTTATCTGTCTCTAATAACATCTCAAAAAAATATTAAATCAGTTGACCAAACTGAAAGAAGAAATAGATCCATATTTACCATGAGAGATTTAAACACTCCTCTTTCAGTAATGAATAGTAACTGTAGAAAAAAAAGAATAAGGAATTAGAAAAATTTGAGCAAAGTGATTAACAGATTTTAACCGATAGATGAATTTAAGAAGGTTGTTGACTCCCAGGTCAATATAAAAATAAATGTCTAGCAACAACAATATCAGAAACCTAGGAATAAATCCAGTGAAACAAATGGAAAACTGTCCCTTTATTATCAGTGCTTTTTGTACCTTTCTTAAGAAATATATTCATGACAAAGGATATAGGATGTTATTTTCTTTGCTGTTTTAAACTTTACTGTGTTGCTTTTTACATTAAGAGGATGATCCGCTTGGAATTGCGTTTTGGGTATGGTGTGAGTGAGAAGTTAACTTTATTCTTTTCCATAGAGATAACCAATGTACTCAGAACCATTTATAAGACTATTCTTTGCCTATTGTTGCACAGTGATGGCTTTGTCATAAATTAAGTATTTCTTTTATGATTACATCATTTCTGGTTTCTATTATGTTCCTTTGGTCTACTAAGACCACACTGTTGATTTCATTGTGCTTTGTAATTTTTGATATTCACTCTGTAAAAATGTGTTCGTTTCAAGCAGTCTCATTTTTCTACTATGTTGGCTTTTTTAAATTGCTGTAAGGAGTGCCTTGTATAATCTGAATACAAGATTTTTATTGGTTATATGTGTTACAAATAATTTCTTCCACTCTGTACTTGCCTTTTTACTCTCTTAAGGGTGTCACTTAATAAACAGAAGCTCATGTGAAACCTTCATAAGATTGTATATCAATGATACCTTAATAAAAAAAAAACAGAAGTTCCTAATTTCAGTGTTGCAAAATGTTCTTGTTTCTGTGTATGCTTTTCATTTGTTCTTTGCATAGGAAAGAACATTGATAAATCTAAGATTCTGCTTGAGTAAAATTGAAATTTAACTTTTTACTTGTAACTGATACTTGTTTTGCAGCTGTGGATTTCTTCAATCAGATCAACATGCTTTATGGAACAATCACAGATTTCTGTACAGAGGAAAGTTGTCCAGTGATGTCAGCTGGTCCAAAGTAAGACATGGTTTATGATCAAGTCTCATTCTTCCTTTCAGTTCTTAAATAAGAAGAAAGTATCTGACCAAATAATTTCTCTATTTCCTTCATTGTTTCTCCAATGATAAATATATTAATTGCAGATTCCTTAGCCTGAGCTTTATGGCCCTCACTGTATTACTCATCCTTCCCTTCCTCTGTTTGCTTTTGTATCCCCTCTGGCTTATCCAAACTAGATTATTTTCAATGCCTTACTATTCCCTCCATTAATTATACTCTGAAAACTTGCTCACTCTGTTCTTCTCTTAGATGATTTTTTCTTTTCCCATATGCCTCCTTTCATCTCTGCTAATGTTTCAAAAAATCTTACCCATCTTTGTTCAAGGCCACATCACATGCTTCCTTCTCTGTGAAACATGATTTCTTCAGACCAGATGTGATTTATTTACTTCTTTCTCTTTATGATTTTATTTGCCTGTTACATTATGTTATACTGTGTATACATGTCTTTTCTAACCCTTAGATGCATTCTCCTTGTAAATCTCTTTTGATGCAAGAATACTGCCTGCCCCCTAATTAGCTAACACTTGATCAATGTTGTTTGAATCAATAAAATTTTGAAACTGGCTTTTATTATTACTGTGGCTGATAATAACAATGACAGCTACCATTTATATCCTGCTGCCTAAATGTAAAGCCTTTCATTCATTATTTCTTTTACTTAATAGAGCAACCCTATGAGGTAGAAAAACTATTGTTATCCTCATTTTACAGGGAAAGAAATTGACTCTGAGAGAGGTTAAGTAACATTTCAGGGTCCTGTTATCTAGAAAGAGGCAGAACCAGGGTTGAATCCAGGTCTCTTTGATTCTAGTGCATGTACTCTTAATTGCTACAGTTTATTATTTTATTATTATAAGAAATATTAATACTTTTAAGGTATCTAGATAGAGAAGTTTTATTTTTAGTGCTGACTTTCTATAAAGTGTTTCCCGTCCCCCAATTATATGCAAGGTATAAATACTAAAACAACAACAAAAACTGCCCAAATTTTACTAGTGCTTAGTATTTTCTTTAAAATTAGTGACCTTAGATTGCTAATAACTTATTGTACTAATGCTTTCATTACTCAGAATATTTTTGGTAACTTTTAAATTGCAATGTCACAGTCAGATCACTAGCTACTGAAGAGATTCAGTTTTATTCTTTCATGGTTATTACTTAGTTTTGTGGCTAAATTCACATATTGAACTTATTATTTTTTGGCTAAATTCACATATTGAACAAAATATTACCTAGTTGGTGTTATCTACCTTATTCCTCAAATTGACTCTGTGTGAGTTTACATATTTCTCAGATTCCAGTCCTTTTAAAAATAATTGACAGTTTGCCATAATCAAAGCTGTTCAAAAATAATATGCTTTGAATGTTTCCTAAGGTAATTTTTTTGAAAAGAACTTATTTTAAACTATTTAAAACTTTAAAACTTCAAATAATTTTAAGTGTACAGAGAAGTTGCCAGAACAACACATGGAGTGCCCATATCCCTTTTGCCCAATTATTAACATTTAGCTACATTTGCTTCATCATCCACTCTCTATATGTATACTCATTAATGTTAATTTTTTCTGAACATTTGAGCAAATTGTAGACATTTATGCTCTTTCACCCTTACATATTCAACACCTTCTTTTAGGATGTACAGATGTTAAATAAAAAAACATTAACAGCTGCAGTTCAGTACAACTGCTGTTTCCACACTCTACTCCCCAAAATTCCTTGTCACCTTCTGTAACTATTGGATGGCACTTTCTCCAACTTAGTCCTAAGTAAAGCACAGTTTAAAAAAAATTCAGAAATGGGATTTTAACCACTATGCTAAGTTTCCTCTTTTAGGAGCATACTTAGTTATTTGTCAAAATTATGCTTTTAAAAAGAAGAAAAAGATGAAATTAGTAAAATATGTTATGAGAAATTCTTAACCCCTAAAGAGAAAGACATGTAAGTAAAAAGTAAATATACTCTTGAAAATTAAGCCAGAGAAAGTTGGGGAATAAAAGTGGTACTTTTAATATTCACAGGTTTTTAGCATTAGTGAAGAAATTAATAGAGTTTTGTAATTGGAGGAAGTTTATATAAATCTGGTAAAAATGAAATTTAATTGAAAGTACACACAAGATGCCTAAAAACAAAACAGTATTTCTCATAATATTTGATGGTATCTTACTGTGATTTGAAATATCATGGGATTTATAAATTGTGCTGCCATTCACTGATAAACTTTAGGAATCTAAAAGATTTTACTGGGGTGTCTTAAAATCTTACTGTGACTGCCTTTGCAAAAGAGCAGTATTCATTATAATGTGGTTATCCTCCTGGATCAAGAGAGTTGAATTACTAAAGAAATAAGTGATTTATCTGCTTTATTGATAAGACCCATCTTACCTATAAGATGGTTCTATAACACTTCAAAGACAATATTTAGAATAAATTTATAGTATTTATGTATATTCTTTTTTGTACTTGTGTCTTTTTTGCCATTTACTTGAGAGCTCATTTATTAATTTAAAAAATCTAAGGAATACAGTGTACACCTTTTGTCCCACATGAAATTCTGACTTTTAAGTATAGAAGCAGATCATTTTCTGTCTGTATTCTCTCAATCTCAGCAGAACTGAATGTATGTACTACTGAAATACCTTGAGCTTTTAAGAACTTATAAAATTTCACAGGCATTTTATAATTCTAGCTGAAAAATACTTTGAATTGAAGCATTAGAACATCCCCTCAGAACATACAGTTCTGTCCTGAAAATATACCATTTGACTGAAGTATTGGATTCTAAAATTTTCCTTAGTGACTGTAGTTTTCCCAAATGATACTTGATAAAGTGAATACGGTATGATACTAGACAGATATTTCCACTCACTGACAGTGATTAAGTAAACATTCCATGTACATAAAAAAATGAAGGAATTTGTTGTTAAGATTGACATCTTCAAGTGGCCTTTTGGTTTCAGTTCACTTGCCAGATGAGGATAAATGATAGAAGATGGGAAATCTTCACAAATTTAACAACTGGTCTCACAGCCAGAAACCAGAGCCTGGTGTTGAATGTACTGCTGCTAGGAAAAATGATAGCTTAAGGGGCTCTAGAAAAAGTCAGATGGATGGCTTATAAATAATTTATATGGCACAGAATCTGGAGGCCCGTATCTTTGTGGAAGGAAATGAACATTTACTAAATGCCTACCTTATGGAAGACATATATTTTTTAGCCCTCCATTATAAACCCAGTTTTAAAGGTAGGCAACTAAGTTCAGGGAGGTAAAGTAACTCAGATGGTAAGTATAGGAGTTGGGATTTAAGCCCTTCTTATTTCAAAGCCATAGGTTGTCCTCTATTCATGTGGAGCACAATTTAAGAATCAATTAAGCTGCAGTGCATTACTTAGTAAATCGTAGTTCATTGAAAGATAAGAAGGGAGAGGAAAACTTGTAGGATGAAATTTAGTATGCTTATCACTACTCTACTTCAATCAAGAATTAACTTTGACTCCTTTAAAGTCGGGGGTTTTTTCCTCCTCTAGAAAGTCTGAATTTTCAAGAAGTGCTGCTCATTAGTAATTAATGAGGTGAAAAGAGATCTTAGGACTAGTAAGTAAGAGGGAACAGGCCTGAGCTCAGTCACCATAGGTGGTATTTGTCCATATGTGAATAAATGCTCCCTTTCTGCCTGAGAAACTTAAAAAGGTGTATTTTTTCCCAGGAGAGTATAAGCAATAGGTATTAGAATCTGTCTAGATATATGTCAGTGGTTACTGTAACACTGCTTGTGGTTTCCTTGAGTTAATTTGTACTGAGTTCTTAATTACTGTTTATATCAAAAGAAAGGGCACACTGAGAGGAAGCTTTTTCTATAACTTATTCTTCCCTTTATGAAAAACTCAAATGATTTTTCCCTATTAACTTGTAAGCTCAATGAGGATATGAAATTGAGTCAGTTTTGATTCTTATTCTTAGAAGCTAGCATAGTTTCTGGCACATCTAAGGTTCATGCTTTGGTCATGGGAGAGGTAAAAAAAAAATTTTGGGGGCTTTTTTAAATCAAGGATGCTTGTGCTATGCTGTATAACAGGGGTTAAAAGCCTTTTTTTGTAAAGGGCCAGATAGTAAACATTTTAGGTTTTGCTGACCATACGGACTCTGTTGCAATAATTCATCTCTGCTGCTATAGTGCAGAAGTCATCACAGATAGTGGTGTGTGGTTATAGTCTAAGAAAACTGCAAAAAAAGATGTTGCACTGCATGGCCTATGGTCATAGTTTGCTGACCCCTAATCTAGGGTAGGACCAATATGATAGTAAATGAATGTATAACTATCTACTTAATAAAGGAGAAAAATAGAAAATAAAAAAATAATCCTAAAGAATGTAAGAAAGAAAAGAAAAGAATCATGTAATAGGTAGTATAAATAGATAACATATAGTAAAATAGTAAATTAAAATCCAAATTTTAGTAATTGTATTAAATGTAAAGAACAAAGTGCTTCCATAAAAAAGACAATGATTTTATCAAGATGGTTATAAAACAAAACAAATCTAAATCTCATTTCCTAGAGATATACTTTATAGATACAGGTTGAAGATAAAAAGTTAAATATCAATATGAAGAAAACTGATACAGTCAGGGTAATATCAGATAAAGTAGACTTCAAGGCAGAAAAACTTTAATAAAGAGGAAGATTTTAAAATGATAAATGGTTCAGTTCACAAAGAATATACGAAGTTCCGAATTTATCTGTCTCTAATAACATCTCAAAAAAATATTAAATCAGTTGACCAAACTGAAAGAAGAAATAGATCCATATTTACCATGAGAGATTTAAACACTCCTCTTTCAGTAATGAATAGTAACTGTAGAAAAAAAAGAATAAGGAATTAGAAAAATTTGAGCAAAGTGATTAACAGATTTTAACCGATAGATGAATTTAAGAAGGTTGTTGACTCCCAGGTCAAT